CGACACTCGGTATTACCATGTTGGGGTCTTTTCTAGTTGTTTATTGTGTTGTTTAGTTGGTTTTTTATTCTAGCGTTGCTAGCGGGATTCTAGGTAGGCTTCTGTCCTGTCCTCTCATTTTATTCTCACGTTGGGAGTTTTGTACTTTTATTCGCACAGTTGTGCGCTTTTGATTTATAATAGTACCTCTATTGTTTCGAGAAAAAAAAAAAAAGATTTATTAAATGCATCTTACTTATATTAGTAATGTCTGATTTGTTTTCAATAAGATTACAATTTTTTGCCAATAAAAGTATTTTAAACTTAATGCATCTTACTTATTTGTCATTTATTTTTGGGTAAATAATTTTTTCTAACCTGTACTATGCGTGCTTTTGGGATTTTCAACCTAAAGTATTTTTTTTGGTAAAATGCAACCTGAACTACATATATAAAATTATTTGCACGCTCGACTACTTTTTGACCGTTCGATCCACAGCAAAAAAGGACACGTGTATGGTCAAGATGTGGTCGAGCGTGCAAATAGTGATTGTATTTATAGTTCAGGTTGTATTTTACAACAAATAATACTTTAGGTTGAAAATCCCAAAAGCACGTATAGTACAGGTTGGAAAATATTATTTACCCTTTATTTTTAATAAAATTACAATTTTTTGCCATCAAAAGTATTTCAAACTTAAAAGACTTCTTCCGCGATACACAACAACTCCTTTAATTATAAGACTTCTTCCGCGATACACAACCACTCCTTTAATTATATCGACGGCGAGTATGTGATAACATTTGTTTAATGATAATCACACTATGGACACTAGGAGCATGTTTGTATACAAGAATTCTCACAAAAAATTTCAACATTTTAATTCAACCATTTTTTTAGGATGTTGTTAAATACCGCCCCCTTTTTAATTATTACTGCCCCCCAAAAAGACAGTTTTACCCTTTTTAATATAAAAATAATTTTTTTTTTTTTTGGGCTGGCCGGCCTTGAATGCCGGCCGTAGCCGTGCCGGCCTTCTTTTTGTCGGTAGGCCGGCCCATGCACGGCCGGTTTTGCCGGTAGGCCGGCCCATGCACGGCCGGTTTTGCCGGTAGGCCGGCCCATGCACGGCCGGTTTTTCCGGTTGGCCGGCCCATGCACGGCCTGTTTTGCCAGCCGGCCGGCCAATTTTTTATTTATTTTTTTTTTTATATATATCAAATTTTTAATTATATACATTATATTAAAATTTAGATTTATGTTATAAATTAGAATTTAATATCTCATAGTTAGAATTTAGAAATTGTTAAAGTGTAAATTATAACTAATTAACTTATAGAATTTTATTATTATTATGTTAGAACTCATTAATTATTATGTTATATAACATAATATTAATTATCTCTAATAAAATACTAATGAGTGATGCTATTAAAAATTATAGTTCTATTTTTTTCTTAAATCCGCTCCTTTTCAACTCGGTAATAAATTTTAAAATACAAAATAATATTTTGACTTAAATTTGAAATTCATAAATACCAATTTAAATAACAAATTGAACGAAAAATATCAGATTTTGTTAGAGTAATTTATTGAGACCGATTAATTCAATATGATTTGACCGAATTTTGTGACAAGAGATTGTTTGACACTTTTCTCAGAGTTATATGATTCGTGTGAATATTATAGTAGGAAAAGCGTTCTAACAAAATAGTAATAAATTCTAATTTATAATAGTAATAATCTATACCATAATAATTTCTAACTTCTAACATAGTAGTACTAAATATTATTTCATAAGGCTATCAATTCTAAATCATACCATAATAATATCCAACTTCTAACATAATAGTAATAAATTATAATTTACAACATAATCAGTTTTAATCTATAATATAATAATTTCTAACCTCTAACAAAATAGCAATAAATTCTAATTCATAAGACAATAAATTCTAATCTATAATACAATAATTTCTAACTTCTAACATATTAGTAATAAATTCTAAGATAATCAATTCTAATATATAACATAATAATTTATACTAATATATTTTTTTCAAACAAGTATCATTTCTGATTTATAATAATATAACTTATACTAATTATACTAATATCATTTTTTTAACTGTATATGTTGTTAGTTCATTTTATCCTCAACAAGTGTATAACAAACATAACCTTAAATTAGGGTTTAAGGTTTAGGGTTTAGGGTTTAGGGTTTAAGGGTTTAGGGGTTTAGGGGTTAGGGTTGAGGGTTTAGTGGTTAGGGTTTAGGGTTTAAGGTTTAGGGTTTAGGGGTTTAGGGTTTAGGGGTTTAGGGTTTAGGGGTTTAGGGGTTAGGGTTGAGGGTTTAGTGGTTAGGGTTTAGGGTTTAGGGTTTAGGGTATATTATGTTTGTGATTGTCATTATGTTAGAAATTATTGTATTATAGATTAGAATTGATAGCCTTATGAAATAATATTTAGTACTACTATGTTAGAAGTTAGAAATTATTATGGTATAGATTAATACTATTATAAATTAGAATTTATTACTATTTTGTTAGAACGCTTTTCCTACTATAATATTCAAACGAATCATATAACTCTGAGAAAAGTGTCAAACAATCTCTTGTCATAATATTCGGTCAAACTATACTGAATTAATCGGCCTCAATGAATTGCTCTAACAGAATTCGATTTTTTTCGTTCAATTTGTTATTTAAATTGGTATTTATGAATTTCAAATTTAAGTCAAAATTTTATTTTGTATTTTAAAATTTATTACCGAAGATTTATAATTTATAATTTAACAACTTATAAATTCTAACTATGAGATATTAAATTCTAATTTATAACATAAATCTAAATTCTAATATAATGTATATAATTAAAAATTTGATTTTTCTTTTTCGACTAAGGAGACGTATGTTGATATTCTGGAATCAGCAGAGAAGCGGCTGGCAGGCTGGCAGGCTTCCTCTCTATCGATGGTCGGCCGGGTCACTTTGGTCCAGTCGGTCTTGAGCTCCTTATCGTATTTTTCCATGCAGACGACCTTGCTTCCCTTTGGAGTTTGTGATAGCTTGGAACGAAAATGCCGGAATTCCATCTGGGGAGGGACGGAGGTCTCCCGGAAAATTAGCCTCGTTTCTTGGTCTGAGGTGTGCCGACCAGAGGACGAGGGGGGGCTCGGCATGCGTGACCAATGTTAGAGTAGTATACCCGGCGTTCCAATCTGATTGGACGTATTCTACTTGTAAATACAATCTATTGGAATTATATTAATTAAAAGGCATTACTTTATCTTAAGAGTAAGCATTTATCATATAATTGCACTTAAGATAAAATCCCTAGATCACATATGTTATAAGGTATGGTTGCGCATAGAGATGGTGATCATGGAACATACCTTGAAAGCAGTGATCTTAAATAAAGTTCCAATTTGATGGATGTTTCGAGATGGGATATCGAATAATCCATAAAAGAATTGCACATAGTATGTATGCTTGTTGGACAAGAATGTTGCATTCCATCAACATTAGCGTGGGACGCAAGTACATATATGTGAGTGGGAAAAATTAGAGATTTAGTCCTTTAAGTGGCGTCGATTTGAGGTTTAGTCCTTTAACTGACCAACTTTTAGAAAAGGTCCTGTAAGTCGCAAAAAACTTGAGATTTAGTC